TGAGTCAGACAAGTCAAGTCAAGTGCTAAATTCGAGCTAAAAATTGAACAATTATTTAGTTTCGTTCAAAAGAATGATTAAAAGTATCGTTCTGATAGAATGATAGAAGAATCGTTTTAAAGGAATGATTAAAAGCATCGTTCTGATAGAACGATAGAAGAATCGTTCTAAAGGAACGATTAAAAGCATCGTTCTGATAAAACGATAGAAGAATTGTTCTAAAGGAATGATTAAAAGCATCATTCCAATAGAACGATAGAAGAATCGTTCTAAAGGAATGATTAAAAGTATCGTTCCAATAGAACGATAGAAGAATCATTTTAAAGGAACGATTAAAAGCATCGTTCTGATAGAATGATAGAAGAATCATTCTAAAGGAACGATTAAAATCATCGTTCCGATAGAACGATAGAAGAATCGTTCTAGAGGAATGATTAAAAGCATCATTCTGATAGAACAATAGAAGAATCGTTCTAAAGAAATGATTAAAATCATCGTTCTGATAGAACGATAGAAGAATCGTTCTAAAAAAACGATTAAAAGCATTGTTCTGATAGAACGATAGAACGACCTTTTATCGTTCTTAAGGAATGATTTTTTTTATCATTCCGATAGAACGATGTAGTATCATTCCGATAGAACGATGTAGTATCATTCTTAAGGAATGATTTTTTTATCGTTCAGATAGAATGATGATTTATTATTCTATTGGAACGATTTTTTTGTATCGTTCCTTTAGAACGATCTTTATTATCCTATTGGAACAATTTTTTGTATCGTTTCTTTAGAATAATGTATTATCATTCTATTAGAACGATTTTTTTATCATTCTGATAGAATGACTTTTTATCGTTCTTAAAAAATGATTTTTTTTGTTGTTCCGATAGAATGATGATTTATCATTCTATTGGAGCAATTTTTTTGTCGTTCCGATAGAACGATGATTTATCGTTCTATTGGAATGATTTTTTTGTATTGTTCCTTTAGAACGATCTTTATCATCCTATTAAAATGATTTTTTTTATTGTTCCTTTAGAACGATCTTTTATCGTGGTTAAGGAACAATCTTTTATCGTTCCGATAGAACGACCTTTTATCATTCTTAAGGAACGATTTTTTTTGTCATTCCGATAGAACGATGTAATATTGTTCTTAAGGAACGATTTTTTTGTATCGTTTTTTAGAATGATCTTTTATCATTCTTGAAGAACGATGCTTTTAATCATTTCTTTAGAATGATTTCTCTATCGTTCTATCGGAACGATCCTTCTATCATCCTTGGGAATGATTCTTTATCGTTGAGAGATAAAATTGCGAAACTCGCTAAGAATTTGTGATTCTTTAAGAATATTGCTAAATTTTTTGTAAAAGCAAATGACTAAATGACAAATGATTTAAATGATCTTAAATGATCTTGATCATTTATCATTTGTCATTTAGATCATTTGCAAAATGACAAATGCTAAATGATTTATGATTATGACAAAGGAATAGACAAATCATTTAAATGGTCAAATGATCAGGTAATTTCCAAACACTGGATTTTACTGTAAAAATTTAGTTCATCATAAGTAAATAGAGGGTGACTCTTTTTTCTTTTACAGGATTATATCGACCAACAAATTGAAAGAATTCTACTGGTATGGTATATCTATTATTAAATGTTTTATTTCCACATTTATTGATATACCATAAAACATCTGACAATTCTCTAATAAATTTTTTTCCTGTAGGTATAACATCACAAGTCCATCCACCTTTATGAGAAGAGATGTATGAAAGAATATCCAGTTTTAATTTATCATTTGATTTGGAGTTTTGTAATGAAAAATTAAAAGTAGGCAAATGGCGTTTTTTTGCAGCATCTTTTAAAATTTCAAATGCGTTGACTGGTTGAGAGTTATTATCATTAGCAAAAATATTAACTACATCATAAATTATACATTCTAATTCAATTTCATCACCAACTTGTTCTTTTGTTTCTGAACAGTGCACTTCTATTGTTTCTAATATTTCTTCCTTTAGCTGTGAAACATATTGGTTAACTATGTATTCAAATAAGTCTTGAACAGTTAAACTTTCTTTAATACTAATTATTTTCCATAGCAATAAAGTAACATGTCCGCTTAAAATTCTTGTTTTAGTAACAGTCATTTTTATTTTTTTATACAAAATATACTTTGTTTGATCATATTACTTTATAAATAATAATGTCTTCAAAAAATTTTCTCTGATTATACTAGTCAATCAAATCGAATTTTCATATAAAATTTTTTTACTAATAAAAAAAAAATGTCCAACCGCCGATCTTAAATTACCAAATGGTCGGTATGAGAACCATTTTTTTATAGTTGTATCGCCTAAGAGATCCATATTGTTAGTTGAGATATATCAAATGCGTTTCCTATATTAGGATTATTTGCCTTGAAATATCTATGTACTGCTATAGCAATACCATCATGCTTTGCCTTTTCAATGAAGTCATGCATTGCCATTTCTGTAAATAGCTCAATCTTAACTTTGGTTATCTTGAGTATAGCATCCTAGGATAGAGAAGACGCGAATACATAATAGCTAGAATTGAGACCATAATGATGCATAGATGTCTTTCTAAATGTTATTCAAACATCTGCTAGACTAACTAAGCATGTCTATTTTGAGATAGAGATCATTATATTCTCCTAAATTCTTACACCCAAATTTATTTCATACATTTTGGGCATTATTATAATCCTCTTGTGAAATCTTACCTCCAAGAATACTATGAAACTCATGAATCAGAGGTAATTCTATTTCCTTAAATCAGTCATGAGAGTCTATATACTCATAAGGAAAGATTCCTTTACGATATGTTAAAGAAATTTTTTAAGAAGAATAACCTTGTTTCTTGAAATACTCAGTCGTAATTGGATGGTTATCACTCAAATTCTTTGTAAGAGAGGCCTAGGGATCGGAATCGATTCTAAAAACCGAAATCGAAAATCGAAAAGATAAAAATTGATTTTTCAAATGATTAATCGGTTATTGAAAATGATTAACAATTTCAGTTTTGAAAATCAGATAATCGGCAAATCGGCAGATTTTTTTTAAATTATTTTATTAAATTAAGTAATGCAAAAGAAACTTTACTTTTAAGCAAGTTAATATCATAATTTTTATTGATAAAAAGAAAAAAAACTAAGTATTTAACAAAACGAATTAAAATGTTAATGCAATATATTCATAAATTTATTATTTTATTTCAGAAACATCTAATAGTACCGAAGTTGCTGATATGGAAAGATATTTTTGTGCAAGTTTTGCTAATCATGGATAATGAATTTTATTAACTTTC